TTCCCTACATTTTGAAATTACTTTTATGGATGATAAGCAGTGAGGGGGACTGATTAAGATCCCAATCCTGCGAACATGCTCTCACATGAGAGAGAAGCAGATAACTTTGTAGTATCAGGCTCTTGCAGAGTAATGACGCGGACGTTGTATGTGTAGTTTGAGAATTTGGAGTAATGTATAAAGCAGACCGCCAAGTCTGCATTTCTAAATATCTTTTATTTACCATTTGTTGCCACAATATGATCCAATATCTTATCTTCCATTATAGCGAACCATCACAACACTTGATTTACCATTTGTGAATATATCAGATTTCCCTCTTTCTTTTGATGCAGGTTTTAGCCTATAAACTGCTCTTCTTGGTTACCAAATTTTGGGTTCTTTTCTTGCTTCAAGGGGTCACTGATAAAATATGGGTTGTGGAGGATTTTGTGTGGTGTCTCATAATTCTGTTATTCACAATGAAGGAACTTGATATCAATTGATATGTTGATACTCAAATTGTACATGACCTTATCTGCTAAATGTTAATCTTTGAAATAATCAAAGTGTTAGTAACAATCAGAGAACAGATGGTGGAAAACCATCATACAGACCCATTTATTTCTACCAACAGCCATTAATGAACCAATCTCTACCATTAAGTGTTGGATGCTATGATAGCACATGATGATCAGTTGGTTAACCACTGGCATTAGAGGCTTGAGATCTAGTTCTTATCGCACTTACTGTAGTGTAAATCAGAAGTAATTGTTAATGTCAATGGAGCTAGACTTGCATTAAAATGATATAAGTATAAACTGTATCAGAAGAAGGCCTGAGGCCTTCATTAGTTACATGCCAGCATTATAAACTGTGTAAGCTACATCTACACTACAGCAAAAGTCAACTTAAACTGCTGCTGCTGCTACTGCTGCTACTACTACTACTACTACTAAAAAACCCTTGTATTCCAAGTGGAACATAGGTCATCTATAAGTCTACTCCATTAAACTACCTTAAACTTAAACTACCTTAAGTCTCTACACCACAGTGAGAAACTCTTCTCTTGACTTCCCTTACTGTTCTCATAGAGTAAGAGGATTGACAGAAGGGTGATCTGTGATTGATTTGGCAGGTCTTCACTAGACCTGCTAAATTGACCCTGTGCTAGTGTAGATGTAACCTTCAGTCTTCCCACTTCTTCATTTCCCAAAATCTATTGAACGCTTTATTGCTGATAGTACCCAGAGTTAGTGTTCTCACAGACCAATATATATTTAACATTAAAGCTGGAATTCTCAACGAGGTTTAAGGTATTTGTGTGGCCAGACCACATTGATTTTCAATAGGATATAGGCACTTGAAAATGCTAGCCTAAAACAATATTATGTGTAGAAAAGGGCTCCGTCTAAGCCTGAGTCAACGTTATTTCATATGTTCTAGAGGCCTAGAGCTCAGTGAGAGGGGAAGAACATGAATTTTAAATGTGAGCTGATACATCAGAATCTAAATGGAAAATATGTGTTATTGTACAGGGGCTAAGACCAAGCAAATATATATGTCCATGCTTATGGGATGAGTTAAATAATAGGATATTTATGTCCTGCAATTGGAAAATAAGTTAAACATGCCACATTTTTAACTTACTAGCTTCTGTTTCTCAGGTTTGCTCACTAAGAACCAAATTCTGCTCATGCTGAATTGGATACCAAGTGATCACTACTACTTCCACAAGAGCCAGATTTAGGCTTACTCAACCAAAACTAATTAGTCAAGCTTTGCCAAAGAAAATCTTCAAGATCATGACCCATGATGAAATTCTGGCACCACTGAATTCAATGAAAGTTTTGTCATTGACTTCAGTAGAGCTAAGGATTTCACCCCCATTAGT